TTTTCAATTGTCCAAGTCTCCAAATTGTTGATTCTCTAAATCTCCAAACTCTAAATTGTCCAAATCTCTAAACTCTGAATGGTCCAAATCTCTAAATTCTGAATTGTCCAAGTTTTCAAATTATTAATTCTCCAAATCTCCAAACTCTGATGTCCAAATTTCTAAACTCTGATTTGTCCAAATCTCTAAACTCTTAATTGTCCAAGTCTCCAAATTGTTAATTCTCCAAATCACCAAACTCTGAATTGTCCAAATCTCTAAACTCTGAATGGTCCAAGTCTCCAAATTCTGAATTGTCTATGTCTCCAAATTGTTAATTCTCCAAATCTCCAAACTCTGAATTGTCCAAATTTTTAAACTCTGAATTGTCCAAATCTCTAAACTCTGAATGGTTCAAATCTCTACATTCTTAATTCTCCAACTCCTCAAATTCTTAATTCTCCAAATCTTAAAATTCTCAAATTCCTAACTCCAAAAATTCCCAAACTCCAAAGTCCCAACTTCGATCGCATCAATCTCATAAACGACGGAACCGTAAAACGGTGAATCTAGCAACGTGCTCATTGCCCAAGCGTGCTGAATAATTTATCGCAGCCCAAGCATCGTGCGAGCAATACATTACGATACGTTATTATCGCGCCGCGCACAAAAGGCAATCGCCGCGAACTCGCAATGGCCGGAAGTCATCCGTTCAGCGGGCCACCTTTGGTCAAAATTTTCGATCGCATCCTAAAATCGATTAAAACGTGGCCACACCGGCTCCACCGCAGTTTATCATCCTCAATCCCGATTATATGGTTAATTAAATGCAATAAACTTTGAACTTGCATTTGCATAAGCTACCATATCGCGGCGTTAATCCGTTATTTATGCGCGACAAATAGGATAAACCAAGAGGGCTTTGAATCCCCGAACAGAGCACCGTATTTGCTGCCGCTGTTCCACATAATTAGCGATACTAATTAATGGCTGTATCCCGGGTAATTATGCCGAAGAGAACACGACTGGCCCGGTACTCCCGTTCCTCCGATGCAGCTTATACGCTTCGTTCTTTTTTATTCTTAATGCCTTTTCGAATAGCTCGGGTGTGAAATTCTCTCGCAACGTGCACTGACATTAATGGAAATTGATTTCCATTATTTTACGCTCTTATACAAACACGGAATTCTTTTGCGATTTCGCCGACTGGAATAATTGGAAGTGGTTTGTTTATTGCTTGTGGATCTTCAAATTGGTTTTCACATGAGTACAATACAAACGTTTATAATGATTAGCTGTATTCTATATTCTTTAATAAAGTATTATATTGTTCTCACAATATTTACAGCAGGAAGAAATGCAAATATTCTGATTATAAGTTGTATGTTCGTTTTCTCAAACTTATCTCACACTTGTGATCGACGCGTGGAGGACTCAATACGCCCTAAACTACCACGCGTGGGGAACTCAACGCGCCCTAAACTACCACGCGTGGGAAACTCAACGCGTCCACAATACCACACGTGGAGATATCAACGCATTCTAACTACCACGCGTGGAGAATTCAACGCACTCTAAATTACCACGCGTGGGGAACTCAACGCGCCCTAAACTACCACGCGTGGGGAACTCAACGCGCCCTAAATTACCACGCGTGGAGAACTCAACGCGTCCTAAACTACCACGCGTGGGGGTCTCAACGCATCCTAACTACCACGCGTGGAGAACTCAACGCATCTGAAGTACCACGCATGGAAATCTCAACACACCCTAACTACCACGCGTGGAGAACTCAACGCATCTAAATTACCACGCGTGGAGATCACAACGCATCCAAACTACCACGTGTGGAGGTCTTAACGCATCTAAACTACCACGCGTGGAGAACTTAACGAGTCCTAAACTTGTAACTGGTAATATTTTGTCTATGAAAAAATTTTTGCAACGAAATAATACTTTGATAACTGACAACATTCTTAGACTAACAAAATGTAAAAAATAATAAATATACGTTAATAAAACGAATAACGATTATTTATGTAAAATTGTTTCTCAAGCATTACTCATTTAGAGAAGCATTTAATACGCCTGTCAATGTATCCTAAAATAAAAGTGTTAGATATTCAGAATACTTGTTCTGATTACGAGGTTCGAACTGAGTTTCTTTCTTGGCTCCACTGTTCTGCAAATTACAGTCCGTTTATAAGTTGAAACATCTCTCTCGAGGATTGATGGTCGGTTAATCAAGCCACCATACAGATAAATTAAAGTAGTTTCCTGATCGTATCTTAAATTGCGAATTAGAAAAGTTATCCGTCAGCAGGAAGGCAAAGAAGCTAATGACGCTTACACCGGTGAAGTCTCTGGTTTTAATGTTCCTTCTCTGTCTCTGTCCCTCTGCCTCCCATTTCGTCGGAGGTATAGAAAGACCATTATCTAGAAGCACCGGGAACGATGTAAATCATTTTTGCGCATTTATGCGCAACAACACGGGTACAAATGGTACACACAGCGTAGACCGTGTTTCCTCTTCGTGCTATTACGTAAACGGCCCGACGACTTTCTCATCTTACCGTCGCTTGTCGCATGCTAATGATCATTGTAAATGATAATTTCACTGTGTGCGAACCTGCAGCTCAATTTTCTTCTCCCCCAGCGATCTTTCGATAAGATAATATGTTAAAACGAAAGAATCGCGTTAATCTATCCTTTTGTGCGCTCCGGTCAAAAACATTCCTCACGGAAAATCATCGCGGCAATTTATGCGGTTCATTATTCTATCTGCGACAATACTTGTCGGCGTAAATATAAATTTACGATTGGTCCTTTGAAGACGCGATATTTACTCGGTACGACGCGAACGATCGTTTATGTATACGCAACATCAAACTCGGAAACGTCCGCGAAGTCTTGAAAAAAAAAGGCACTTCGAATTCATTCGATAAACTCCCGGCGCAACCTGGGAAAACGAATTCCGTTGTCTCGTAAATATACCGCTATGACACGCTTACCGAGACCGGACAAATGAAAAGAGCTTCGTACGCGTCGCGTTCGACAATTTGTCTATCCTTTCCGGCCAGAACCTCTCGATAAATTTTCATCAGGCTTCGTCATCTGAAATTCTGATGAAACCTGGCCATTCGAAGATCTCCGTCAGCTTTGATCAACCCGAGACTCCCAACGCGTTCTGCGACGTCGACCCTGATCAAAAACATGTCGGGAATGCTTCCCTTTGGACGCGCCACTGTCAGATACGCGTTACTTCCATCAGATAACTGGCTGGTCGAAAACTCGATCTGGTAGGTGTTCGATGTTGAGATTTCTTTGTGTTTGATTTAATAAAGATTTTGTTGTGATACTGTGATTTTGGTGATCTTTATTTTGGGATTTTTGATGGGGATTATTTTGGAAATTTGGAGAAATTTGAGAATATAATATGTGGGGAATGTGGCGTATTGAGTATGCATGTGGAGAATTTGATGCGTGAGGAATATGGCGTGTTGAGAATATTGTCAGTGAAGAACGTGATGCAATGAGAATATCGTGGAGAATTAGGTAGAGAATTAGGTAGAGAACACAACGCACCGAAAGTACTGTGCACCGAAGATACAGCATATTAGGAATACTATGGGTTATGAATACAAGGCGTTGCAAGTACCACGTGTGGAGAACTCAACGCGTTCAAATTACCACGCGTGGAGAACTCAAAACGTACAAAATACCACGCGTGGAGAATTTAATGCGCCGAAAATACCACGCGTGGAGAACTCAACGCATCCACACTATCACGTGTAGAGATCTCAACGCACCCAAACTACCACGTGTGGAGAACTCAACGCATCTAAACTACCACGCATGGAGATCTCAACACGTCCTAACTACCACGCGTGGAGAACTCAATGCGTCCAAAATACCACGCGTGGAGATCTCAACGCATCCTAACTACCACGCGTGGAGAACTGAACGCATTCAAACTACCACGCGTGGAGATCTCAACGCATCCTAATTACCACGCGTGGAGAACTCAACGCATCCAAATTACCACGCGTGGAGAACTCAACGCATCCAAATTACCATGCGTGGAGAATTCAATGCGCCGAAAATACCACGCGTGGAGAGCTCAACGCATTCAAACTACCACGCGTGGAGATCTCAACACGTTCTTACTACCACGCGTGGAGAACTGAACGCGCTCAATACACCACGCATGGAGAACTCAACGCGTCCAAAATATCACGCGTGGAGAACTCAACGCCCCGAAAATACCACGTTCGAAGAAAACAACGCATCAAAAGCTCCATGTGTGGTAAACGCATGGCTCTTTAACGCTTCGCGACACAACACGTGGCAATCTACCGCGTAGATGTAACACATAGCGATCTAATACGTGACCATTTCTCTTATAGCCATTAATCGCATCGTCATGCAACGTAGCAATATAGAACCGGTAACAGTATGAAAATGCGCCATTATTCATGTACTTTACCTAAACGATGTTTCCTGTCAATTCTATAGCACAGTACTAAAAAAAACCTGTATAATATTCCAGCATTATATGCAAACGTTAATATTTAATTAAATTTCATGGTTGGTAAGATGTTATTATATAACAGTCCCGGAACCGTGAATGACGTTTTTTGCGAGGTTTATTTTTCAATGTACCATCGGCGATCGATAGCTGACGTGCCTGGAGGGCAGCGTGAAATCCGTAGACCGGAGTATAGTTATAGGATAAAACGTGACGGAAGATCACCTGTCGTTACCTATTAGTCAAGGAGAGCTAGTAATTATTAGCAGACGACTGGTAGCCATTAGCGTTGAGGAAATATCCCATCTGACACTCGACACCGTTACGCCTCGGGCGTTATGAGTTATGCTACGCCAAGGTTCGATACCTCGTTCCCGCTTATGAATTTTGATATCCGTTTCGTAATTATCGGACGGTCGTTAACTATGCAAAATTTCCAATAGATTCGTACTTTCTTTTGCAATTAACTCACTATTCTACTTTCTCGTTTCAGGTAGATGTGCATCGTCAAACTGAAAGATGTTCGCAAGACTGTGCAGGCAGGCTCCAAGTGGTGAGTAGAAGATTTTAATTCGTTTCTTTTATATTCTACCATTTTTTAATTCATGTATTGTGTATTTTTGATTGACTGTGAAAATTGAATGGTTGTAAAAGATATTGATTTGCGTATTTGATGAAGAGTTTCATATTTTTATATTTGGTGTACTTTTCAATGAAGTATTTTTGTTGTATTTAATGCAATAACATGTTTTATATTTACTATCATAAGAGTCTGGTACCATATTATAGAGGAGAAATATGAGCGAAATTGAAGAGATATGTGAGCACGAGGTATTCGGCCAGATTCATTGATGCCCGCTGAGCTCGAAGAAAAATCGAGCTAGCCGTTTGGTCCAGAGGCTCGGCTGAACCGGTGGTTTCGCTCGGACGTTGTAATTAATACGAGGAAGAGTCTCGTTGCTCGGTGGCCCGTCGTTGTGAACTTAGTCAGAGACAATGGAGGGACTCGTACGATATATCACTGCCGCCTGCGCATCCCTCTTATAGATTCCATATACCCAGTGCTTAGCGTTAAGGCGCGCCACCAGACGATCCGTCGTGATTTACGCTCGACCACGGCTCCCGATTGTCCACTTCTCCGACTTATAATAAATAGAATATACCTGTCCCTATACGGAAGTGCTCGATGATGCAGAAATCATCAAAACCACCTTCATTTCCATTTATGTTATTAAAATTTATGTTATAGCATTCAATGTATCACCCAATCCTCCGCGTTGCACTTTGAGTGGAATTACATGTTGACTCTTTTGAACTCTCTGCATTGTTTTAAATCTAAAAACGTACGACGTAATACATATGTGGAGTGTCACTGATAGACTTCACGTCGAAATTCAAGGACGACTTCAAACTCGCGTCTTTAACTATAATAAATCTTCAAAAAGAAATTGTAGTCCACACATGTAATATCCACGCATGCTCAATAAATTTATTAAGAAACATTCCCATATGTGTGAACATGCTTAATCCATTACGCATCCTTAATCACGCAAATCTGCTCATAAATTACGGAAGTTATCTGGCAAGAATTATGAGGAGAATCCGTGGTTAAATGGACACACAGTATGCCCACTCATCGAAGAATCTACGTTCTAGAATATGCAAGCTGCACCTATGGCTAAAGTCCACTTTTACTGAAAGGTATCCTTGTCACGGTATCTTTCTCCGTTCGAAATGGAGGAACAAGGAAAGTGTTTTGTGATTCGAACGTGGACATATCAGAAATTCCGGAGATAGAATGTCTTGGAAGGCAGCGCAGACGTTCTTGAGTTACAAGACACTGGCTACGCTTCCGGGTGCGCAGAAGAGCCTAGTCCCTTTAGGTAGTAGCCATGAACAGCTTGTTGAACACGCCTTAACCCCGATGACCTTGGCTTTGCGGTCTGGCCTGGCCAGACTCTCGTTATTAATACGAATGAAGAGGAATCTGCATGAGGTATCCTCCTGGGGAAAGACCCGACGTTCTCCGGTGAATCTCAGCCATCTCTGCTGGCGAGTCTGACGAGTCTCAGCGCAATCTCAGATACGAATTTGTCTCCTCTTCCTTTCGAACACTTTATTTAACTCTATGGTTTTAAGCAAAAATCTGTATTTTCTACCTTTCGTTCTTTGTCTAATATCCTGTTCAACTGTTGGTCACTCATAATTTAAAATTATTGCAAGACTACTTGAAATCATACATGTCATAATTTTTAGGGATTCGTTCTTTTATGGACTTGTTTATGAGATTCATAGTTAGGTACATTTATTTATCTCATCATTCATCTATATTCAAAGATTCGTTCATAAATTCATGATCAACAACATGCATATGTGTATACATATAATTAGTTATCCATATTCATTCTTAGAAGTCATATGTGACCAGGTCAGATTTCATTTCTGTCGAATTTGATTATTCTTGGACTTGGATGAACTCCTAAATAAAATGACATGATAAAACTTTTTCATCTGTTCAATATTTCCAGGTATCCAGAATCTTCGAATATTCGATACTCGAATAGTTCCAGTAATCGAACGGTATAACGCGAATGCAAGCTCAGTTAGCAAACCTTAAATCTAATGAATCCTGACGTATTAAACGAACCATGCACGATACCACGTACACTAACACACGGAATTACAGATAAGTATTTAAACATTCCATCAGAATGTTTGGCCGTTTGTATTAATATCCGAGTCAACGACCCGCTGCAAACCGATCCTGGCTCCATTAACAAGGTCGTTTTGCTCGGCGCACGATGTCCAGCTATTAATGTTCATGTTTCTACCTATCAGAGTCGGAACGTCATTTTCCTCCTCCTCTTTTAGCCACGACCTCTTCAGCATCTATCTATCGGCGTAATAACTCCATTACAGGCGGTCCAGTCTGTGGTTTTAATGTCTCATTTCCATCGTCGCGGTGTGACCGTATTGGCTACCGTTTCTGGTCCTCTCCCTGTCCAACCACGTTCGGCGCTCACAAAAGTGTCGTCGCTTATCGTCCCTTCGTGTAACCACTTCAAGGATCCCGGGTATTACGATGTCCTCGCAACCAGAACCCTTTTTAAACCGACAGAAAGAAGATACGAGTGTAGAAGCCAAGCATTTGCTCGGATATCTCTGCTCGGACGATAAGAACGCGTGTCAAGATCGAATTGAGTGCTCTGATGAAGAAGCGAAACATTATACCGAGTGTTAACACCTTCGTCCTGTAGTGCACTGAGTGGAGCTGTTAAGATGATGCGTGAAGAATATGTTGGTATATAGATAAGCCTTGACATTTGGTGATGCATGTAACTTTAGGTTAAGTGCGAGATATAAATTTCTCAATTTTTGTATCGGTGAAGTGGTCGACGTGGTCAGGTCGAAATTGACGTGATCCTGTTTGATGCAATTCACTTTCGACGTAGTCCCATTCGAGATTCAATTCCATCAGGATTTCATTCGTCGTGGTCCAATTTGGCGCGATTTATTTTGGTGTGGAATATTTCGATGAGATTCAATTTGACATGGTCCGATTCGGCGTGGTCCAATTTGGCGTGGTCCAAGTCGACGTGGTCCAATTTGGCGTAGTCCGATTTGGTGTGGTCCAATTTGGCGTGGTCTAATTCGACGTGGTCCAATTTGGCGTGGTCCAATTCGACGTGGTCCAATTTGGTGTGGTCTAATTCGACGTGGTCCGATTCGGCGTGGTCTAATTCAACGTGGTCCAATTTGGCGTGATCCGATTCGACGTGGTCCAATTTGGCGTGATCCGATTCGACGTGAACCCAATTCGGCGTGGTCCAATTCAACGTGAACCCAATTTGGCGTGGTCCAATTCGACGTGAACGCAATTCGACGTGAACCCAATTTGACGTGGTCCGATTCGGCGTGGTCCAATTCGGCGTGGTCCAATTCGACGTGGTCCAATTCGACGTGGTCTAATTCGACGTGGTCCAATTCGGCGTGGTCTAATTCCACGCGGTCCGATTCAGCGTGGTGTAATTCGACATGGTCCAACTCGGCGCAATCCAAATCTACATGGTTCAATTCGACGTGGTCTACTTCGGCACAATCTAATTTGGCATGGTTCAATTCACTATGGTCTAATTCGATATATTGCAATTCAGCGAGATTCAATTTGGCGCAAACCAATTCGACATTATCCAATTCAACGTAGTCCAACGTTCTAGACTTAGAATTGGTCCTGAACCAATTCAACGAAGTCTAAATCAACATTCTCCAATTCGGCGTGGCCCAAGTCGATACAATTCAATTCGAAGCAGTTCGATTCGACGTGGTGTAAAATTGGTATCCTCCCCTTAACGTTACAAAGATTGAAACTATGTAATGTATTTCCCTCCAGTGAAACAGAAAGCAGCATCAACTACTTCCCCATCAAAATTGACCTAGCACAGTTGGCAGTCTATTAAACAACACATCCAGTGTGTATCCTGATGAATGTTGAGGAGGCTAAGCCGTGTCAGTTTCATCAGGCAGCCTAATGACTGGCCGATACTGTTACTCTTGATGAAGTCAGTTGCACTTTTATGCATTAGCTAAGCCGACTTGGTAGAAGAAACGTAGGATCAATGGAATCTTAACGAAGCCACGCGCGATTCTCGTAAAACATTTGAATGTTCGAATGTTCGAGCCGACGGAAAACACGATGGCTGCCTAAGTCCCGAGCGTTTGATAGATGTTCTCGAGCGAATCGGACACGTTCGAGGGAAGCAATCGTCCCGGCAAGAATCCCGTCGACGCAAGAAGAGATTCACGGGCTGTTAAGAAGAAGGTGGTCTTAGGCGGCTTGTAGGTTGGCAGTTCTTCTATTAAGGCAGGTCGTGAAGCAGCTGTAAATCAAGACTCTCTCTTTCTCTCTCGTCCCGCGTAAAAGTCCTCCCCGAGTTATTGCGCCACCTCGCGAACTTAATGTGTACGGGTATTCGTGTGATACAACGCTGTTTTATTTCATAACTAGACGCTCGGAAAGATACGAATATAAAGAAGTGAAGGGATGAGGATACTCGTGCACGCGACGTTTGTCGGAGGATTTGTCATGTTTCTTAATGATTGGAAGAGCAATGATTAGTATATTCTAAATGTATGCATCCTTCATTATGTAAATTTGATATTAAACTCTAAACTCTTACTGCAAATATAATTTTGATTTCTTGTATCCAAAGTGCAATGTGCATCACGAGTGCGTCATTATAAGTCAGAGTAATAAAATTTAATTTCTATACCCTCTTTCCGACAATGTACAATTTATAAATTCCAAGGAGATAGCTAAATTGCAATCACAATAAAACGCGATTGGTAACTATATTGGAGTTAACGAGAGGATGTTCCTCGATTCAATCACGAGAACAGTCTACGCCACGGGGTAAACGCCCCATAAAACGAATCACGTAGCCGCTATTGGACAAGGACTGTTTATTATGTCCCAGCCCGAGGCACCGACAATAAAATAATTAACGAGGATCACGCTGTGAGGTTTCGCGCATCGATCACGAAACGCTCGCTCAA